GAACCAAACTCATACAGTATGTATGCATATTCATGCTCATGTATGTATAAAGAATTTACAAAGCTTCTTTTGAAGGAGAGTATGCTTAATAGCAGGTGTGCACAGCCCCAGACCCGCCCTACAGGGCCCAGGATCAATAAAGATGTGACACAAGCCCCAGATATGCAAAAGCACCTCATATAACTGGGACACAAGGGGGGCAGAAATAGGGATGTCCGAAACCCACCAGAGAAAGACAGAAGAGAGCACCCGAGGCCCCAAGCCCAAAAGAGACCCAGTCCCTGAGCGGCCTGACCCAAGAGACCATAGTGAGTAGTCCGATGGGGCTGTGGCAGCGCTACTTTTGGGCTCCACCTCCAGCCACTCCTATGGTGTACCCAAGCACCACCCAGGCTTCTGCAGGGGTGGAACTTGGGGACCCCACATGGCCAACAGGCCCACGTCTGGCCTGGCAGTCAAGAATGAGACATTGCCAACCGAAATACCGAACCCTGCACCTAGAGAACCATCAGAATGCCACAGTAACCTCTCATTGTTGGGGGGCATAAGAAGGGGAAGAAGACAGGCCAGGCTCATACTTTGGGCTTATAATACTCCAATGGGTGGGTGAAGGCAAACTCTCAACCTGACAAATAGACAAAGATAAATTCACATTTATCCAGTCACATTCAAACAATTCCACGCTTCCATCCATACGGACATATACAAGTATTCAACTGAGGAGAACACAGAGGCAGACTCTAAACATATTCTTACAGTCCTCATATATAATCATCAGACCCACTTTTTCCACTAAGTAGCCAGAGCAGCAACCGTTATTTTGGTCGACTAAAGTGCAGCACGTAGTCGAAACAAGGAGCCAGCGGGGGACAGAGTGACCAAACCTGACCCAGTAACAGTAGCCTTGACAACTGCGTCCCAGTGCTTCCCCCCACCTGCCTTACTGGTCCCCAGCTCCCCTCATCCGGCTGAGGATGGGCGTCTCATGGCTCTCTGCTGAGGTCCATTCAGCAGAGAGCAGCAGTCGATATCCCCCCCCAGAAAAAAAGGCTCCTCTTTTTCAAAAACCCAAATCTGGACACCCTAGCAAAGATGCTTCAGCCGCGCATCAGAACTAAACTTGTACACTTATCAAAAATGAAGCAGCACATGCGTTTTTGCTGCTCTTGCTGCTTTAGGTGTGAATATAGCATAACAGTGGCTAGCTTCCAGCCATGGCGTCCAGCATTGGGGGGTCAATTCGTTCATGTGTCAGGGTATGCCAACAGGGGGAAGGGACATTCAGATGACCATGATTGACGGGTCAGAAACCAATTGTGTACAACGGACAGTCGTTTGTGATTGGTTGGGGTTATTCATTGATTTCTCACTGTAGCTGGGACCATTTATTTTAGTTCCACTTCCAGACTTTCTATTTCCCTGCTTGCTAAGCGGCTGTGGGGAGATCTTTAAGCCACATGGTAAAAAAATGTACCAGAAAAGATCTCCTACTGCACCTTTAACATTCCAGGGTTTATACCATTGTTGTCTTACCAGCACGAACTGGCAAGTTACTGACATTAGAGCAAAAACAGACTCAATCAATGTAACTCTGCAAAGAAACATGGAAACTGTATTGTTACTACTGATATGGATATTTTTAGTATGATATTTTATTGCTAAAGTCAACTGGAGACTGAAATAGCCTGGCAGATTTTGCCATCCTGAGGATGCATTTACTGTTCTGCAAGGCCAGAGTATTTGACATATTTCTATTACATACAGAACCACACTTAAAACCTATACTAAAAATGCTTGATTAAAAAATTTAACAGGAATGACTTTCTATACATCTGACAATTTTGGATACTGACATATTGTAACCTGCAGCTGGTCCAGCTGAATAAAACATTTTGGATATAGTATTCGCACCACTGCTATATGCACTATATGCCAAAGCTAAAGAAACACAATTTGTACGGTATATATATATATATATATTGTAGAACCTAATCAAGAAAATCATATATAAAATGTAAAAAATAGACAGTGTTAACAATGCTTAGTATATTTAGTTTTATGCTATGATGTGTAGATCACAATGATCAAAAGACCTTCAGCTCAACATGCTAACTGCTTGAATTTGTATGTAATACAAAATGTTTTATATTGATTCAGATGATAATTGTATGACCATTAAAACATATCATAAACTGTGTGAATGACTTAGAACTTTAATCTCTAGATGGAAATTGACAAAAATATTTAAAAAGGTGATCCATAAATTAATTCACTTTGATGCACTGGCATATTGTGACTAAATATTAAAATGCTGAAGTGCAAAAGGTATATCATATGCGACACAGTTTCTTTATACACTTAATAGGACAAAGCTTTCTATTGATTAATGTCATTTCTTCACATTTAAACCAACATTTATTTTAGACATGCTAAAATATGTGGTAACAAAAAACTGTCAAGTGATAGTACAACACTGTAAATATGTAACTCTTCTGAGATGGTCACAAAGCTCATAACACTTAGAGATTCGTGACTAGTGGAACAAAAGCCATATGACTGTAGACAAGGTGACTTTCCATAACCCATACCTATGGCAGCCACAGCATGTGTCTGTGTATGTTTAGGGTACATTTAGGAAGATAGCCCATTAAGCTCGCCAGAACATCCATAAATTTACTAGCTCTGGTTAAATGAAGAATTTTGATGGGAAAAACCACCAGACTGAATAGAGTGGAAAACGTATCATAACACAATGTTGTATATTCATGCAGAAAGACTAAATCAATTTGGTTAGATGTGGGAACTACCTTAAAAAAAAATCTTTGATATATATGAAAAAAATAAAATAAAAAATTCTATACACTTTAAACACAATGACATTCTCTCGTTTAATTGGACAGATAACATTTTTGCCTACACTCATTTTCTTTATATGGTACACCTTATTGACACTGGTTTAAACCCTCTTTCATTCTGTGACATTGGGGGTCTTTGATATACAAAGTACTGTATCTCAAATGTGTCTGACCCGAAGCAGAGGGGAAGTTTCAGGCTGCCTAGTTTCCTTTCTCTTCCTACCTCACCCAGGATTATGTACTGAACCGGAGCTCAAAGTAGAACTGGGAAGAGAGGGTAGTCTCCTGTTCGTGCAAGGACAGTTTTCAATAAACAATTAAACTAAAAGATTGGGTGAAACAGAAAGATAAATCCTATGTATTATTTCCCCCAAAAAAAACTCTTTTGATTGACTGTTCCTTTCTATAACTTGATAGTGGGAGGGGCGGGTTCTCGGCCCCCTTCCTGCAACATCTGACACGTTTGCCGCCCCCCATCTCCAGACCTGGGCCTAAGATCTGGTAACTGGGTACAGCTCATCATCATGTTCAAAAAAAAAAAAAAAATTGAAAACACCTATCAAATTATTTAGGGGTTGGTACATTACTCTGCTTGGAAACAGCCACTACAAGATGGGTACACTGTGGGCACAAAAGGCTGAACGTGTTCAGCTAGAATAAAGGCTGTTAAAGGTGTTAAATTGATACTCAGTTGGTTCAAAGGAACCGCAAGGATGCTAACTAACACAACCCTACATCATCACAATACCACCACAAGAGCGAACAGTTTATGACAGGATATATTATATCTAAATCACTAAATCAATTTGTCATCCATCCACCAGTTTCTTTCCTTTCTGCTCTGTCCATTATGATAAATAAAACTTTTTATCTACACAGTGACCATGTTTGACAGTACTCTGTAAAAACAAAAAAGCTGCATGATGCAGGGAATCAAAAATTTCTAGAATAATTAGACCACCTTGTCTTCCACAATACATATCATTCAAGGTCAGTTCAACTGTCTTTCTTTCTCATGCATTACCTAAGTTTTTATATCATTAAGTAATTTTTTACATCATTAAGTAATTTTCCCCAAGGGGATGTCATGCGATCAGATTGACGAACAGCTAAACAGATTTACATTACATAATGAGATTGACCAGTACTCATTCAGCTCAACCCTTAATTCCTTAATTGCTTTTATTTCTTAAACACCTGAGGTATAGTAGTGTTTCCTAAGATGAATGCCTCCCCCATTTTTTATCAACTAGCAAATAGATAACACAGGTGACAAAATATAAATAAAACAGCAGGTATTTCGTAAGTGCTTTGTAAACTTTAAAGAGCCAACATACATCCATCCATTTCCATTACGCGCATCCCAAGCGGGGTCACAAGGGGTGATGGTGCCTACATCTAGCTGTCTAAGGGCAAGGCAGGGTACACCCTGGACAGGTCACCAGTCTATCGCAGGGCAACACAGAGACAAACAACCATTCAAACACACCAACAACTAAGGAGAATTCAGAGAAGCCAATTAATCTAACAGTGGGAGGAAGCCAGAGTACCCAGAGAGAACCCATGTATGCTAGGGAGAACATGCAAACTCCATGCATAAAGACCCAGGGCTGGGGATTGAACTTGTAACCTTCTTGCTGCAAGGCAGTGGTGCCACCCACTGAGCAGTGCATAAAGGCCAAAAATATGTATTTCATCATTTATATGTGTGTAAATATGTCACCCATCAGAAGGTGTTTTAACCACACTCACAAGCTCATTCCTCAAATTGCATTTGACAGAAGCAATTTTGCACACAAACTGCAGTAAGTGTTATGAATTAGATTAAGATAGGGGATATTGAAAGTATTAGAAGAAAAATGTATGTTTTGCTAGCTCAGCAGCTTTAACTGATTATTAAATTTTACACCCATCCACTATCAGCTTTTCTTCCTGTGCCTATTGGAGGGAAATATGTTTCTAACATGTTTTTTTATTATTTTAAAGACAACTTTGGTTTTTAACAGATCAATAAGAGTTGCTTACATAAAAATAAGAGTCTATGATTTATTTTCATGTCTACATTGAATATGCTGAAAAACATATGATATATGTTTAAAGAGAAACAGCTGTTCTATAGATATTTAAATCAATGTCTTTTCTTACTTCTTTAAGGCAGCCCATGAAATTGTTGCTGACTGGCGATCCTGGCAGGTCGGCTGTGCTGGGGCTCCCACCCACATAGAAGAAGTCGTCGGAGCCCAGCATGGTGTAGTCCTCCTGAGTGTAGCCTGTGGTAGTGAGGATGCCGTCCACCGAAATTGTCACCTGTTGAGGCGTAACACATAGCCAAAGCCAAGCCATTACAGTCTGGAATTTGTTCCTGTGTTGTGTACAAATTCACCTCCTTGGTCTGCATTCAAACTCAGGTTTATAAACTTTTTTTTATTATTTGGTACCTTGAATCTATTTCTTTTTTTGGACCAGAGAAAAGTTAGATTTTTTTGTTAATGGAATTTTTGCCAAAGGATTCACAGGACAGGTAAAGAAAATATGGCATAGGCATATTTTCTTTATCTTTGATGGGGGTAAGAGAATGAATCTTAGGTTTGATTCTGAAACTTCAGGTAGGGAGAGGGTTAGTACAATGTTCAAACCAAGGACAAATTGATTCCACTTGTCTTAGGTTTCGGGATTTATCTCTTTCTGCAGACGCACACATACACACACAAGCACACCTTCTCATTCATACACAGTTTCGCACACTCCTCTGGACTTATACATCTGTAAATCCACGCACATGCAAAACAAAGGGAGGCTTTTTACACCACATCAATGTGCAAACAAAGGGCAAAACTCTTAGAAAGGCAAACTAAGCACATTTTAACTGGAGATGGAACATGATTTGATGTGGCATACAAATCTGGAACATGCACACATGGTTAAATGGTTCATGCAAGACTGAAACCCATATCCGAGCAAATCTGTAGAGCAGCAGATCCTGATCTCGGATCAGGTTCAGCTCAAGTGTCATGTTTTTGCTAGAGATGCACCAATCAATTGAGAAATTGGTCTTGTCAGCAAGCCAAGTATTGACGAAAATATTATTTTCCTTTACTTTTAAAACAATGCATCAAGATGAGAAATTCAACTGGTTTTGGTTTCTAATCGTGTCAACCAACAGCATCAGCTTAAAATTGGATAAAGGTTAGGGGCATACAGGATTTCCAGGTAGTGTTAAAGTTTGAGGAAGAACATAAATAAATATCTGTATGAGTTTCTAATATCTAAAATGTTACATTTGATAACCTAAATAATAAATATGCTTTACATTGATTGATTCTTTTAATATATTGTTTTTTTATCTTTGAACATCATAACAGGTAAATATGCAGTCATTCCACAATGAAAAAAGGATCAGATTTTTTTTAATTTATTATTCATTGCAGTTAATACATTTTCTTTATTTCAATTTAGTTAACTAATTTAATCTTAAACGTAATGAATTTTTCTTAATGAATCAAACCTACTCTATCAAATGTTTTATAGTCCAAAATACATAACCTTGAAAAAACAAAGCAATAAGAAAACTAAAACTAGTATCAGCCTTAAAGAGCTTGATCTTCATCTCCTACTAACTTCCTTTTCTGAGCTAAATAAAATATTCCTCCCAATATTATACTGACACCCCCATGTTTCAGTGTGGGAACGGTGTGCTCATGGTTTTACGTACATCATGTGTTGTTTTGCAGGTTAGCCTAAAGGGTTTAGTTTCGTATGACCAAAAGATCTTCCACATGTGGTATCCCCTACATGATGAATCCCTATCTTTATTTAAAAAATCCAGTTCTACTTCCCAGTCATCTACAAAGGAATACCTATATTGTTGATGGATTGCTTTGTCTAAGTACTGTATTCTTGAAGCTCTTCTAGAGTCATTATTGGCTGTTTATCTGATTCAAACTCTCCTTGCCTATTTTGTCATATAGAAAAGCCTTAACAGATTATTTATGATTGTACTAATTAAAATAAATACATGAACATTTAGTTTCGTGAAAAGAAAGTATTACTATATGCAAGCTCTGATTTAGTTTATATAAGATATTCATTGAATATTTTCTGAAATATATTTTCCCTGATGTAGGTTTGTTTAGATGGCAGGAAGTTCTTAAAAGGCCTTTACTGCACTGATGAATTCAGCACTGTGCTATTTTATGATCAAAGAGAAAAAGGTGCATACAAACAGCAAATCAGGGGAATCTTTTGTATTCAAATGTCCTTACATTAAAAAACAGAAAAATCAACAAAGTTTTCTTTGCAAACTGAATATTTTTACTTAAAAATTGTATGAAAGCAGGAAAATAATTTTGTAAATTCATGTTTTAAATTATTCAGAATTCGTAACTACTCAGTATGTCTATAAAATTAGATAGAGAGCAATTATTTAAAAATTTTCATATAAGTCAGCTAGCAAAAGCCATATTGATGCATCTCCAGTATTTACTTTATCAGTACCGCTGGACCAAACCGGTAATCCTAGATCAGTATGCTTGTTCTTTGAAATGTTGCGCATATGGGCCCAGTGGTTATTGGAACACATAAACACAGTTTCACCAGCATGCTACAAAAACTACAAACAAGGAAGGCAGAGTGAGTGATACAGTGAGAAGTGAAGGATGAGTGAATGAATTAGAGTGTTAGTGGTTATTCTGGGTGACAGGACTGGGTTCCATGAGTTTGGTAGATGACAGGTCAATTGATGAGGTGTGGGCATGCCATGCACCATAGTGAGTTGGAAACAACTGTCAGAGCTCCCGCAATTGAGGTTAAGGGGTGCCATTTTTTGCCGGCGTCTCTTTTAGGGCTCGGTGTTGAGGTCACCAACTTGGAGATTGTGGTAAGCTTCTGTCAGTTCTTGACGACAGTCCTCACAAAAAATGGGGACTTTCTTGTGTGGAAAAATTAGCATAAAAAGTAAGTTGCCCTGTTAAAGGCAAAAGAGGATTTTTTTTTTTCTTTTTATCTTGTAAGAAATCTGTATTAATGTGGAGGAAACAAAGAGAAAAAACGTAAAAGCCAAAGTGAAAAGAACAGGATGGGGGATTGTGGGGTAGAGAGGGAGGTTGTTGGCAGGTCAGGGAGTAAATTGAGAAGAAGCGAAGAAAGAATTGCCTGGTAATACAAACCCATCTCCTCATTTTTTGATAAGAGTGTCTAGGATGGAACTCAAAGAGAACGAATAAAAGAAGAGAGGGGAAGGGGACACACGGCAAACCCAAAAAAAAGACAATAAGAATGATATCTACCAGACAATGTAGTTTGTTTACCATAGCGTGTCCAATGCCTGATTGCTTTCCAGAAAAGGGGGAAGAAAGGAAATCAACAGAATAGTGAACAAAAAAGGTTGTTAATAAGGATGGACAGAAAACAAAAACCAAAAACAACGATGAAGAATTAGGATGATAGTTAGTACATTAGTTGGTTAGAAATTGGTTAGTTGTAAAGAAAAATGGATTTTCATCATGGATGAGTTAGTATAGCGGTGAATAAACACTTGGTCAAAGATCAGAAGTGGTAATTAGCTGCGATCATGCCATCCGAGGCAAATTTCCGACAGCTCAGTCCTGCAAAAACAAAAGCTAAATAGAAATCCTTTCATATATTTGCATAGGATGGCTCAATTCCCAACAAAACCTGCAGTGTTTCTGCATCTTTGTTCTAAAAAGGGTTCCTTTGAAAGTGAAAGGAAATGACAGAGAAAAAAGAGAGACAGTGAGCAAAAGCGACAAGAGTCAGCTCCTAGCCTATAACCAACCCTCTGTCGGGAATTTCTGCTATGACTACTTGCTAACCTGTGGGACGGCGCTTACTGTCAGAAAGGGTTAGAAAAACAGCACTTACTTGTACTTCTGCTCAGACAGCAACACTAAATGCTGTCTCACCTGACAAACTAAAGGTCAACAGAGACAATGGACAAACCCAGCACACTGCTAGCGTTACCTTCATGCACCACTAGCTCTGTTAAGTCAGTTAGAATCTTCCTACAGCCTCATAAGTATACAACTGAATCATGTTAGGTCAACTGAAACACAAAGTACAAGCTGATTGTAAATATTAGGAAAACACCAAACAGTACTTATAGCAAAGCTGTAATGAATGCACAAAAATGCTTCAACTGTCTTTGAAATAAAATCCAAAGGCAGCTTCAACCATACTCTTAGCAAGGAGACAGCAAATAACCCTCAGACAATGTCAGCCTTCATAGCTGTAAAAGCACAAAAGCCTTATAAGACATATTTTGACTACAGAAACCTAAAATCTCTTCAAACAGCCAAGACAAAAGAAACAGTCATCACTTATAAAATAAGGTAGAGATTTGCATATTTCACTCACTTGCAAAGAAAACATTTCAGCACCCACGAGTTGGAATTTTGACTTAATTTGGTAAACATATTGATGAGAATTGGATTTCTACATGCTTTTATTTGAAAAGGGCTGCCGAATGTTATGATCAGACATGAGCTATATTATCTAATAGGTATTTGAAACATTTTGTGAAACCCTTGAATTTGATTTGTGGAGGCCTTTGTGTGAGATTAAATAAGATTTAGAGTTCTTGTCACAGTAGCACAATTAGGTCTTAACTGGACTGTTACATTTAAATATAGTTGGGTGATTTTATCTCACAGCTTCTATAGTGCAAACAGATGTCACAGCCATCCTGACACTCTATTCTTAGTTATATGAGCAATTATTGACCCAGATATCCACTACACCAGTCCATCATAGCTAAAGATGTAAGTTTAGAGTTGTCTGGATTGCCCAATAACTCTGACCATGTTTTCTGACCTACTAAAGAATTGTGTCCCCACATCATAATATTACTAGCACAATATTTCATATTGTGGCTTAATATAGGGCTAGGTGGTCTTATTGTACATCCAGATTTAGGGCAAAAAGTCATCACAGATCATACAAGAGGATTCCCATACTTGTCATTCTATGTCATCAAGCGAAAAGCACAGCACCGTATGACTTGCTGGCATCTCACAAACCAAACCTGATCCAGTATCAAAATCTAATAAGTGCTGTTAATGTTTAAAATATCTGTAATGACTTCTCTATGACTGGTGACATCCATTTGCAGAATCTCTCCTGCAGCTGTTATAGCTGCTGTATCACTGTACTCATGATGTATGGTATTCTGGGGCCGTTAGAAACGTGCCAGGTCCTTGTTTATGGAACATATGTAAAGATTTCTGAGTATTTTGAGGACCAAATCTGTACCATTTCTTCTTCCTTAACTTTTTTCTCAACAGTGAGTGTAATAGCAATATCCCTAACCCCAATAAAAGTGCCTCTTTGCCTTTTCATTACTAAATTCTTAAGATAAATAAGCCAATGTATAGAGATTAAAATGGATTTATGTGAATTTAAAACAACCAAAGTTATGAAATCTCTTATCTGAATAATGTTTCCAAACTGTAGTGATGAAATGACAACTGATAAGATAAAGATGAGTTTCTCAAAGCCTTCTCAAAAGCTCCTCAAGACAGATTCCCTACAAAATAACAGCAAAAAAAATCTCAAACTATCCATCACTGTTACCCTCGATTACCTGTCTCAGGTTGCGTGTCACTTTGATGTCGTGCCAGGAGTTGTCATTGAATTTTCCATTGACTGGCTCTACGATGGCCTCGAAGGCCCCAGAACCGAGGTTGATGACAAGCGAAACCGCCCCATCTTTCAGGGCCAGATTGACGTAGTCAGCGGATTTCCCCGTGTGGAGGAGGAGGCCATTTCGCTGCCATGTCTTGAAAGACAGCGTGATCTCATCGCTGCTGCTCTGGATGGGGTTCTGTGACAGGTCGTAGCAGAAGTACTCGGAGCCACGGAAGGTAGCCACGTTCTCCTCTCGTGCTGAAATAAAAAAACAGAATAACATATTTTTACTATTGAGTACTAAAAACTCGAATTAATGACATTTTAATTAATAGCCTCACCCCCAAGCATTCATTAAATAATTGTAAGACATTCATAACATAAGTAAGGAGCCTTTTTAATACCTGTTTCACCAATTTTTAACAAGATTGACATACAAAATGCAATGCAAAGTTACCAACAGTCATTCTCACATTATGACCGTTCAATTCTATTTTTTTTAAACAAAAAATAAAGTTCAAGTAGTATGAACACTTTTAAATGGGATTGTATAAGGAGTAGTGTTATATAAGATCCCCATTAGTGTGGTACATGCACACACAAAAACACACACACAGTATACTGTGCCCTGTAATTACAGCTGCGATAATCCTATCTTTCAGTTCAGATCATAAAATCCTATCGGTATAACCATGGGTTTAGGTTTCACATACCAGCCTTTAGACAGACAAGCTACTTATAATGGAACACAATTCCTCGCTAATGGCATGTATAAATCAAACATTGTCTGATTTTACAGTTTTTACATCCCTTTTGTTACAAAGTGGCTTCCGGATCCATTTTTTATATATTTATGTATATCAGCAGATAGAGTAAGGTGAGATGGGGTGGGGGCTCAAGCCTGAGGGAAAGAATAGAGTTGCTGGTTTGACAAAAAGGGTAGAGAGGACGGTACAAGAGGTACTGTTTCTGTCAAATGCAATATGTGATACAATAGTTGACAGTTTCTATGATGTTCCTTAAATGTAGACCAGGCTGGTTCAGACTAGATGTATTAATTACATCCTATGCTCAAACCTTCTATTCACAGAAGTTTGACGGAATTAGTCTTTTCTGTCAAACTTCCAATGCATTTTCACACTGCCTACTATTGGAAAAGTTCTGGATAAATTGTTTTATTCCAGTGACCAACTTAAGAAAGAATCACAATTATGAAATGTTTCAGTTTGACATTAAAATGTACCACAGCAGATAAAATGTTTTATAGTATTCCCAATGTTCTTGATTTAACTGTGGACTCTAGGAGCCCAGAAATATTGGTAATAGTCGACCGAAATGCTTTGGCATCACAAATCATGTCATTTCATTATACCAACCTTTTTTGGTGGGGACAGGATTGTGGTGTGTTATTAAAGGTTTTGTTCTGGAACGAATTAAGGCATTTTTAGAGAAGAAAAGCTTTGTGAAGGACAAATATTGTTTGGCACATATGTTCCATAAACAGTACCTACAGGATCTGTTCTAAAGCATGTTTTGTCCCCATCCTATTAGATAATAATTATATAACAAAAACAAGAAAAAGGACTTCGAGAAACCATTTGCTTTAGATGTTCTTAGGTTCAAACAGAAAAGCAGAGGTGATCACATATTCTTGTTTGTTGCTCCATAATGATAGAATATATATGAAGAGGCTTTAAAAGCTCTTTAAAGACCTATTTCATCTCTTTGGTTTTACATATTTATTTAAAAAAAAGTGTGAAATCTAGTTAGTTACTGCATTTTATTTGATTACACAACGTGTTTTGTCATGATGGCATACTCTAGAAAGTAAAACTTGACAAAAGAACTTGACAGCTGACATAGCAAGCATGGCATCCAATGTGGTACACATGAAAAGAAAACATTGTTAACATACCAAACCAATGCGTTGCTATAGTGTATAGATATGGGGAAGTCATTACCTGCCAGCAGACAGGAAAAGAAGTTAAAATATTCATTTTATTTTCACTGTGTCCACGATTTCCCTTTGTGTGGTTAAAGAGAAAACGACACGGAGCTCAAGACAGGGGAAAACAGAAATGAAAGGGATACCTAGCACATTCTTCAGTTTGTTGTGCTGGATCAGTCAGTCCGCAAACATGAGGGAGCGGTGTTGTGCAGCTGGCAAAGACACAGATGAATGGAAAAAACAAGAAGGTAAACACTGCGAGAAAAACAAATGGGACAAGGCGGCAAGGCTGTGGGGACGATGGGCCGCACATTCCAGTTATGGAGAAATTCTCCCCGCAGTATCAAACCAAAGTCTTCACATGGCAGACAAAAGGAAATATTACAGGAGGCAACAAAGGCACAGTGAAATCCTTCCTTCCAGTGCCAGGAGAATAAATAGAAAACCATTATTAAAATGGAGACATGGAGAAAGAGGGATATACACCAAAGGATGAAAAGGCGCTTCCCTGTCTTCTGATTCTCGCACTGAATCTAAGAAACTGTAGCGGCGTCAAAAGCACAAAAAAACTGGCTGATTACATTTGGGTAATATTGAACCTCGAGAATTGTGTTGATCAACGAGTGCAACATTATAATACTGCAGTTACTCAATATGTGACATGTTAGTTCTATCATCATAATCATCTGCCAGAGCCATTTCTCCAAAAGTCTTTCAGAAGACTAATGAAATATTGATGCTTATCTCAACAATGTGGTAATACTGGCTGCATGCCCAAGCTGGCGTCACTGTGCATCCGGAGTAGAGTAGGCTAAAACCAGAGACAGGCAGTCATATAAACTGTGGTGTGACAATTTCTTTCTTTATTCTAATCAAAGTGCTGAAAAGAAAGATTTAGATTTCATTTTTGTTTAAAGTTTCAAATCTTCAACAGATTTGATTAGACTAGCCCTTTGTGAAAATACAATTGCTCACAAGATTTAATAATCCCTGCGGCTGATCATGTGTATTAAAGTTCAATATGTCTTTAGTCACAGATTTCAGTAAGTCTTTTACATCAGGCTAAAGGAATTATAAGCCACTGTTTTTTGTCTTTCTGACCAATATAATGTGTGTTTTAGATTTATGCCAGAAGTAGCAAAACATAACTTCCAAATGTTTCCAATTTTGTCTTGCAAATTCAAAAAACATTTTTTTCTAAGGGATGGATCATTATCTGGTTTGGATTCGCTGGAATCCCAAAGCCCAAGATGCAGCTTTATACAAATTTCAAGATCAATCGAAGTACTTTTTTTTCCTTCTTCATCTATTTTTAACTTTTTTTGTAAAACACTAAAATTAACTATATTGTTTATTTACTTGCAATACGTTTGATTAACATATTACTCATTTTGGAAATTTGTCCCTTTGCAGCCGTGCAGCATTAAAATCCTCCTTATCTAAGCTAGAAACATGAGCCTTTGCTGCTCTCACCTGACCCATCCTGGAGAGGTGATCGTCATGGCAACCCCTCTTATCTATCCTCCTCACTTTAATTAGTTCGTCTGAGGACTACAGCTCAAATTGCAATACAGGTTTTCATAGCTCAAAATGATTCCTTGTGACATGGATATGATCAACAAATGTAACACTTTGTTTGCTTCCTCTTAGCTGGCATCCTTTTAGTTAGGAATGAACTGAAGCCAAATCTGTAGTGCCAAAATGGCAGAGAGTCAATCCTCAGGCTAAACTTCCTTGTAGAAATAATCCTATAATTGGTGAAAATCAAAAAATTCTTTTAAGATTAACTCTGATCTTTGCACCAGTACTGGGATGAACAGTGTCACTTACAAATAAGATGAACTCCAATGTGTGGTTTATAACAGTAAATGCAACATTATCTTTCAAAACATAAATTCAGATCAATCCAGTGTATTCAGTTCGTTTCAAACTGCAGCAAAAGAAAAAAATAGATAAATTGCTCGAACAGGGTTTAATTATGCATATTAGCTTTTATGATGATATTACAATCCATTAAATAATTACAATGCAATTAGAAACCATCGATAAGGCCTTGCTGCTATGAATAAACGAGAGAACAAATTTATATAAGGTAATATTTGCGCACCTCAGCAGTCTCATATCTGGGGTGAGTGTATACTGATCCATAAAACCCAGTGGAAATGTATTGCCTGTTGAGACACGTTCCACACAGATCTGCGGCTTTCATATTGATCATACAGCGGGGTCATTTTCCTCTTATTTTCGCCACGCTCATCAATATTCCATTTGTGTGCTGCCTGGACCAAGCACTGAGGGTTGGAGTTCGATTTCAAAATCCACTGGAAGCAATTAGCTCCTTCATTACCATCCCCCCTTTCTCTTCCGCTTCCCCTCTGCCACACATAACCATGCTGTATAAGCTTTTTTTTTTTCACCCAGTGTGACCTCAAGGGACTTACAGCAAGAAGATGGGCCACCATCAGAGTGGTGGCTTTAAGATCACAGCAGGACATTACACATCACAAACACTATGGATAACAGCAGGCACCTCAGGAACACAGCTCTTGTAGGATTGTAAATAGAGGAGTCATTCTTTCTCTGGAGGAGTTACAGAAATCGTCAGCTCAGGTGGAAAATCAGTTTCGAGGTCAGTTAGCTGTCATACTCTTTGCGTAATAGTGGAAAAAATAAAGAAAATTGAACTTCCATTTGCTGTTTTCCAAAGACATACGTGGTAAAAAAAAATAACACTGGTCGTCAACCTAAATAAATCTCATTACCATCCTGTAACATGATGGCACCAACATGCTGTTTGTTTTTGGTTTTCACAACAGGGTTCATGAAATTAGAATAACCTTCCTGAAGGACATAACGAAGGATTAGATTAAAGCAAAGCATTTTTGCATGTAAGGATGGCCCATTCAAAATTCAGACCAGAATCCAGGAAAAAATCTTTCAGGAAATCAGAAAAACTTGTTTGAAGACCATCTGCTTTCCTCCTTGCTTAGTCTGACAATGCAAGCCGATCGAGTTAATCGACTGCTAACATTTAAATTTTCCCTAAGTTAACTGAGAGTTTACACACAAACACAACAAAAAATTAGAATTTAAAAGATTTCTCATCTTGGTAATTTCCAAAAATGTTTAATCCAGCTCAAAAATGCAGGGGCTCAATTCAAATACATCAAGTAAGTTAGGACATCAAATCGGATGCATATCAGTATTCACCATAAGAGTAAGTAAGGAGGTTGGAAAAAGAGCTTCTATCCCCCCCTATTGTGGTTCTTTTAGCATAGGAAACTTGCAAAGGTTATTTAACCAACAGTAA